TCTTATGACTTCTTTTCCTAAGCAATGCAAGACTGCTTGAATAGACTCTCCTTTCACATCAGTCTACTAGAGATCCCTGTGCCTGATGGAATAGGTGTGGACAGTTGATTTTTGCCTGTCTGTGGACTATCTGTGACTGTTCTGCCATGCTGGAGAGTTGTGATACATTAACATTGTAACTCTCTCCTGTCTTTGCTTATGGAGTATCATTGTCTGTCTGGAGAAGGGAGCAAACTGAGGGGTTAGTGCCTGGCCTGCGAGGAGCCCTGTGTTAAAGGTCAGCCAAAAGGTTATGTGCTTTTTCAGTCTGGAGGAAGACAGAAGTAGGCCAGTGTAAACAGGAGAACTTGTGCTGACCCTGAGGCAGCGTGCCTTGAGTACGAAAGGAATCGCAACCTACTATTCTTTAAGAGCTGAGCTAGTGACAGGACAGCAACCTAAGACTTGAAGAAGACCAAATTGCACTTGCACCACCAATTTGCTAAGACAGGCAACTGCTCCCTACGTCCTCCTGTTCCACATCAACACAAATAGAAAAGTATCACTTCTCTAAATATAGTGTCTAAATAATCTCACAGGTACCAGAAGAGAGAGAATAACTGACAAAAGTGAGCATTTTATTTAGAATGGATACAATAATAATGTTCGGGAGGTTTCTTCTTAAGAACAATTTAAAAGCAACTAGTAAGAAACATTATGCTGACTGGCATTGAGGTGAAAATTTATTTTTTTTTTTAGATTGTTTAGAGATTCAATGTAACTGATTTTTATCAGTTGTTCTTGCTGGGTTTTCTTCAGGTTGCTGGTAAATCATGAGTGTTTGTGGGCTATAAGGAGATGGTAGCAATGCATTGCAGGAATTGGACAGCTCAGCATGTAAGCGAGGAGCACAAAACTGCTATAGAAATACGTTCAAATATGTTTGGGGAGACATGGAGTAGAAATTAGCTGGAGGCTGTCTGTAAATACTGATGTGTATTGACTGCTGCATAAGAAAGAATGTCTGTTTTACTCTCTGACACTTAAAACAATAAATATTTTAATATATACATAACTTCTAAATTTACCAAACCCACTGTGATTTACCAAACCTTAATGATGCATCAGTGCTAAAGATGGCTATTTCTGACAGAAATCTGCTCCTTACCTTTCCTGTCTTTTGATTTGAACAGAAGTCAAAAGATGAGCGATCCACAAATGTGCCCTGAAGGGAGTCAGTGCATCCAAGCCAGCAAGTGCATCTTGCAGCTTCCAGAGGTGAGAATTTGAGGGAGTTGGAACACTCTGTCATTTTACTTCCTGGTACCCGTTGATGCTGCGCGTTAAGAAATCCCTACTCCAGGTTTGGTAGGTGATTACGCTGTTGGTGAGACGCACAGTTCCTCAGCAGAGCAAGTCAGTCCCAGGCCTGGAGATGCATGGTGGAATTTCTTAAGTGGCCTGTAAACCGCAGAGGAAGCTTCATTCTGCCAGCGAACAGTGACAGCACTTTCATGTAGACTGTGGTGGTCATTGCAAGGGGTGGTCTCTTACTCAGGTACATTGCATATGCACACCTTCTCCTTGCATTTTTGAAGACTAAATTCTTCCTTTAAACCGTTACCCTAGAAGGGATTATGCTGTAGAGAGGAAGGTATCAAATATGAGAAGCCTTATGGAAGCAAGAGAGAGTGACGTAAGGCAGTGGGACTCAGATCGCTATAGGGAAGTGCCTCAAGACTTTGCATAGGTGAGGCTGAGAAAGAAGCTTTAGATTAGGTTAGTCTTTTGTTGACACTTAGGAAAAAGAGGCTGTTGTTGGAGCAATGGAAGAGGACTGTTGCTTTTGCCAGGAGATTAAGCCGGTCTCACAGATCATTTCTATCTTGAAACGATACAAGGCTCTCATATCATTTGATGAAAAGATTCTATTTTATGGGAGAGCGGAACATACGAGAAGGTGAAAAAAATCTGTGGCTACAAAGAGAAAATCATGAACTATCATGATTAGCCAGGATCCTAATACTTGCATCAAGGCAGCATCACAGCAGTTTTGTGATTCTGAAAAAATAAGTAAACTCTGGAGTGCTGGGCTAAATTCTGCTAAGTAAGGGTTGTGGTATAAAACGTGGTATAAATGGTAGTGTTGTGCTTAAATTCCTTGACCCAGCTCTGATACAGGAACTGGAAGCAGCTCAGATGAGTCTTACCAGCCTTGCAGAGAAGCAGGCTATGTCGGTACGCGTGGACTGCCACAGCTCTGTGGCGTCTGGAACCTATGCTGTTTTCTCTAGTCTATGCTGTTCTGACATTCCAGCTCATTTGGAGCTACTTTGAATATCCATGTGACACAATCCTGCCTTGAGGCAAGTGCGTGCGAAGCAGGCACTAGATTTGTATAGATAAAGTCAGCCTGCCATTTTGATGAATAGTTTTAATTATTAGTGACTTCATCAGCACAAAGAAAAGCCCAAGAAAATTCTACTGCTGAATAATTCCTGACCTGTGAATTACTTTGCGCTTCACGCTTCAGATCAATATAGTAAAACAATACCAAAAGGTGTTTGTGACATGGATTTAATAGGAGTTATTTAACAGGCACTTCTGCAGATTAGGTTGTATCACCACTGGCAGACCAAGAAGATCTAAGTGAATATAATTATAGTACCAATAGCAGAGAATCTTTCAGTATAAACAATGTGGGTCATTAAAACTCTCTAGCATTTAATTATCACCAATTAGCAACTAAGTGAGGCAACATCTTATGCAGCAGACTGTTAATATATTATGTGCAGGGAAGGATGGTGCTCTCTGTGTTGTTGAGACCATGGTGAGGGGGTCATCTTGGTTAACACTCAGCAAAATATCCAACTGTAGTCTATTAGTAAAATCAGGAATCAGTATTACAGCATTGCTGTAATAATCTGTTTGATGTTTAACCCTGGTCAGCAGTGTTATCTGTACACAGGGCACTGAGGGATCCTTTGGCATTGACAATGAGGAATATGAAGCTATGCCTGTGGAGGTGAAGCTGTTACCCCGGAAACTCCGTTTCTTCTGTGATCCCAGAAGGAGAGAGCAGATGCTCCATGCGACAGTTCAGTGAGAATTTATGTCAAAGGGACCACTGTTCACCAGCCTTCTCAGGTTCTCTTCAAGGCACATGAGACCTCACTAACTTGATAAACCCCACCCGACAAATGAATTATTTGGCTAGTTTATGCACAAAGTACTTCTGTTGGAAGTGGCTGATTTGGCAAGTCTCAAAGGGGCTAAAAGTGCAAATTAGACTCTAAGAAACGCATGCTAACTTGATGGCATCTTTTTCTTCCCCCTAAAGAAGTCTCAGTGTTCCATTTACAGCACTGCAGGCTGAGTGCTGTGTGTCAGATGCTACTACTTTATTGCAATTGTATATTAAAGTAAAATGAAAGCACATTTGTCCTTGTGTTGGCAGGATTAAGGTCTACCTTGCCTATGTATAAATCTCAGGAAGCTTGGGATCATGGGAAAAAAAATGTGTGGGGGGAGTAATGCTAAGGAAACCTATGGAATGATGGAATTGCCACATTAAAACAGGTGGTTGGTTATCTACTCTGTCACAAAACAAGTTTGGAGATCAGTGATAAAAAGCTTTAGAGGGTATTTAAAAACTCCCAGTATGTATCTGCTTCCTCGGGTATGCTGGACTACAGCTTGCATGTTTTTAAGTCTGAAAATGGAATTTTACCCTATTTTTTCCTAATTCATGTACTTTGAGTTCACAATTGTCCTCAAACAAGAAAACCTGCAGAAGGAACCTTCTACATCATCTGATGATCTGCAAACTTCTGTAAGGTTCTACTCTTCTGAAACCACTTACTGATTCCTTGAGTGGCTCATTAAGATAGATTTGTTATAGATGCTTATTTTTTTTTTCATCTTGCCAGATTAAACAGCACAGAGTTCCAGTTAATGTTGTAGAAATATAATCCTTTGATCAAGTTTAGGTATGTTACACAGAAGCAAATTGGAAAATGTCATCTTTGACCTGAAGCTATATGAAGTAGCGGGTGGAAAGATCCTTTAACAAGCCAAATGAACCTTTTTTTGTAAGTATTCCTCTTATTCCTGTAGTAATCCAACAAAGGGCATCCAAATGACTTAGTAGTCTTTGTATGTGGTTGCTCTTCTCCTTTAATGTAAACAGCCCTCATCGCTCCTTACACAAGCTACAGCATCCCCTTGAGCCCCAGTTCTGTAATTAGCTTTGTTGCCTTTCTGAGCTTCTGTTTATAGCTTCACTTTAATTGCCATAAGGAATTACTGTTAACTTATGTGTTGTTCTTCTTAGCATAATCTACAAGTTGACTTGCTTTCCCCTTGCTTCCCGGAGAACAAAAAATCAATCCTTACTTTTTCTGATGTGATTGCTGTTTGTATACAGCTCTCCTGTTATGCTCTGATCTAGTCTAAGTTGATCTGTAGATCCTTTGCTGTAGTCAAAAGGAGGACGTTAGTGAATTGACTTCTAGCAGCATTGTAAGGGCCATATGCTGTTGCAACAGCATCCTCTACTGGAGACCTGCTAGAGAAAAAATGTTTTGAAAGGGGAAGAGTGTTGGGTTTGTTGAGCGATGCTGTAACCAAACCGAATGCTGTCCTTCCCTAGGCAAAGGATGAAACTCATTACCTAAGGCAACTGAAATGGGAAATAAGCTATTAGGGCAAGCACTTGTCCCTTTCTTAGCTAAGGTAAGGGGAGAGTAGAAGCCTGCTAGTTCTTTTTCATAGTTATGCTGGTGACAGAGTCGGTCCTGTGCTGTCTTTCATTTGATCTGCAGCAATTAAGAGTGTCCAGTGGACCCCTGGGTCGCTCTCTGGGGAAGATGTTGGCTGCGCTCTGCTGCTCTTGCTTGCCAGAGTCACCTGGAACATTGCTCTGTGGCCACTGGCTCATTCCAGGTCAGTGGCAGTTCTTGCCAACTGAATTTTCCTTGAGCATCATGATGCTTCTGTAATAAAATTAATATTTTTGCTGAAGTGGAAGGAAAGACAAGGCAGCAGCATTTCAGAAAGGTAAGCTTTAATTGTATTTTTAAAATATCTGTGTTTTAGTAAGCAGTTCCTCTACGCAGGCCTGTGCCTGGGGGAACAACCCTGTATCTGCAAGGTGCAAACAACATCAGAGCTCTCTGAACTTCAGCCAGCCTGCTCCAAGGGGAAGGATGATAGGAACCAGCTTCTGGTTCATCTGCATCATTTTAAGGGGAAAATGACTTAACTCCGTTCCATACCATACACTCAGAAGCATGGCTCCTGCTGCAATGTGATTCCTTGCTTGAGGGTAACCAAGAGCTCTTTCCGGAACTGGTATTAATGCTGTTTTGCTGTTGAAGTACCAATGAGATACAGGCTAATATTTAAATAGACATACCCCCAGAAGCTTTAACTACTGTTAAAGAGATTTTCCCCTCTTTCTTCTTCATCCCAGTATTATTGAGTATTTCTAGATCTCTGAATAGCAACATTGTACCTCAGGGGGGGTAGGTGAGGAAAATTTTATAGAAAATAAGTAGAGGTTAAAAACCACTATTTACAGGGCTGAAGAAGGGACTCCCTTCATATATTTATCTCTGACATCAAGACAAAACAACTTTCTTCCTATGAACTCCAAGACAGAAAGGAAGAGTAGAGTTCTAGGTTCCCCTCATGAAAACGCTTACCCTGGCTTCAACTTACAACCTCATTCTAGAAGGGCTTAAAATAATGTAATATAGATAAAAAGGAAGGATAACAGCTTAATGATGGACCAGGCCAAGGCATCTGTTTATTTTAACCATAATTAAACATTCTCATTTGAATGGCACATTGCATTAACCAGGACCTGAAATCCTGGTTCATAGGCATTTAGTATCCCTTTGTTTTAGACAGACACTCTTTTAAGTCAGTACTTTCTAGGCCCTTGCAAAGACATTTGTGTTGTCTTCTCCCACCATCACTAGACCATTAGCTTTCAAAGAAAAAGGAAAGAGCAACCAACTTGGAAGTAATAGCTATGATGAGAGAATTTAGGTTAGGATGCATGCTTTGTACCTAGACTTCTGCAGTGGGAAGGAATACTTTTGCCCTGGTATTCCAGAAACCACTCTCTTTCTTTACCAAAGCAAAGCATGCCTGTCCCTTGCATACTCTGTCACAAAGAGGGCCACAGCTCCACCTAACTTTTTCCCCATCCACTTTGGCAGTTCTTAAAATGGAAGAAGTAGCACACAGACTTGTTAAGGAAAACTGTTTATCTTTTCCTTTCTTCAGTGGTTAGGAAGCAAGCTGTACATAATAAGCAGTACAGTAAGTTACTTGCTTTCTCTTGAAAAGGTGACAGAACTTTATTCCGTCCTTAAGGATGCTGGATAGGAGAGCTCATGTCTTATTACAGACAAGATCATTAGCTCCAACATACATTGGAATAACTACTCCATTTATGCGGGAAAATAAGGTATTAGCATAAGACAATTTATGCGGGAAAATAAGGTATTAGCATGTCTCTAAGACAAAAATGAACTTGAATTCAATGAAATGCCTCCCTACCTAGTATCCATTCCAAGTCTTGGTTGTACTCAACTCTAACTAGACAAGCTGGCTAACCTGGCCTAACCTTGTAGTAGGAAGACTTTCCCATGATTCAAGGATGTCCCTTGTTCAGATTAAAAAACTAGCTTTCATTACTCTCCTGAGCTTTGCCTTCCAATCAAAATAGTACAAGTAGTAATAATTCAGTACTTGATTACACATTTCTAGTCAAATTTGGGTTAAGATGCTACTCTGAAGCTGTTGCTCTCTTGTTTAAATCCAATCAGGTACAAACTGAGAACCTGTAATGGCTGTAGTACTACTTTAATATTAGAGAGGAACACATTGGACTGTCTACCAGGCCACAGGATATATACATGGTTATTGTAAACCACCTTTCAGCCTAGGCTCTGATCACCAGCAACTGCCTAGAGACAACATACTAAAGAAATTAAAGGCACCACTTGTAAAGGCAAAGTACTCCAAATGGAGAAGAGGATTTTGCAGTAATCAGCAATATCCTACCTTGTGCCACCCTTTCCTTCCTCTTTAAATCAAAATATACCAAATAACTGACTCCCTTGCAGCTGCTAATATTCAAAAAAAGCAGCTATTAAGTGCCAAGGAGGGGATTTTTTTTTTTTTTAAATTCACACTTAACATGACTGTTTTATCATGAACCCAGAAGAATCAGCTGTGGGGGAGAGAATGCTCAGTATTGTTGGTGCCAAGGCTAGGGAAAAAAAAATAAGCCTGCTAAACAAGCCTTAACAGCCCAAGCTGTAGCCATTCATGCTATGTACCCATTTATCAAGGACTTTCTACATGCAGCAGCAATAAAAGCAATATCTATTCTAGTCTAAGATGACTATGCAGAGGGAGAGTTCATGTTGCAAAGGACAAAACAAAGAAGGGCTAGGAGATAGGGGAGGTCTCGAAATTCTGTTTTCTGTCTGAATACTTCTTGACTTTTCTAGCAGTGACCTTCCAAGAGAGGCTGTAGAGGAACAAAATTACAAAGGAAATCAAAATAGGCTACAGCAAAATAGGCTGAGTTGTGCCATGGCTGCTACTTCTAGAGTAATCTCCTTGCTTTGATGCTTCTGCACCTGTGCAGTTGCTAGTAATTGCTGCTGGCCCCACTGACAGTTTCTGGAAAGTAGAGGATAAATAAACATTAAGTAATAATTTTGAGAGATTCCACCTGATGGTTTCTAGCAGTGCTTTCTCACAGAACTGATGTTCTGACAGCTTGTGAACACAGTGCTCTAATGCAGTTTGTTAGAAAGACTCAGGCTGCAGAGGGCTGTAAAACTTCAAAGACAAAGGTTTGTTCCTATTCAGTTCAACAGAAGAATTACTGATAGGAAGGAGAAGAAAAGCCATTAACAGCTAACCACAGCTGAACTAAGTAGCAAACAGATTAAACAATGAGAGGAAGAATTTCTAGAGTAATTCCAGTTCCTTTTTTAATATCTAAAGGAAGTTAAGTAAGAAGTCACCTTGCCTGCCATACTTCCTCAGGAGTCTTAACTGCAGGCAACATGTTAACTAAAAAGTGGAGGAAGAAAGCGCAGAGATTATGGGTCACTTTTATATGAGAGGTATCAATTTAAAAATAAAGCCTTTCCTCAAGGGAAAAAAGACTGATCTTTCCATTTCATGTTGTTCAGCTCCCCTTTTTCTCCCCCGCCCCCAACCTTCTAAGGATAAATATGCTGCAAGGAACTGCCAATACAAGCAGCAGCATGTTTTCGCCTGTGAAAAAAAAAAATCTGTGCACCCTGAAAAAGCAGGCAGGGGAGAGTGCTCAGTGAGACAGGCAGCTCACAACACTGTAAGACACTGATGCTCGTACTGGTGAACTGTGCAGTGAGCCTTGTGAGGTCTCTGATCCCACACCTATCTAAAACCCCCTGAACCCACGGTAAGCAAAACTACACCTTTGCTGCAGATAGCTAGTCTTCAAGGAAAAAAAACAGGCTCTGCTAACCTCTTTCCTTCCAGAGGAAGACAGTCCACAGAGGGTCTGGTTGAAGAACATTTGCTTAATGTGTGTTAAAACAATTAGTGGGTGAAACTTAAGTGGTTTGGGTGCTCTCTTGTCCTATAAAATGTTAGAATAAATGGATATACTACAGGCTGCATTTCCACAAACTGCAGAAAGGCTCCTAGGTGCTGACATCAGGCATGGCAGAAGCAGCAGCTAAGAAGCTAAAGCTACAGTCCAGGATGAACTGTTAGTTTAGAGCTGATGCTACTACTGGCTGCAGCAAGTCACACCCACAACCTACAGTCCCATCCTTAGATTAAGGATGGCTAAGGGTACACCCTTTGCAGGCACAGGCTTTCTGGAGGGAAACTTTTGGCCATGCATGAACTGAATTCCATTCCCTCCATTTCCCCCCTCCCCCCCCAAACAGAAGAATAAGAAATCCTATTCACTTGGTTCTACAGTTTCTCTGCCCAGGAAAAAAGCCTTACTGTTAGACATTGCTTCTTCCAGCTGAGCCAAACTCCTAGGGAACTCCTGCAAACAATAAAGCCATTCCAGATCCGCAGCTGAAAGGTCACAGACTGCTCTCTACTCCACACTGAAAAATGAAGACAGCAGCAGGCAGTGATGAAGGCTGCTTGACAAAGGAGGAGCAGCAGACAGTGTTAAAGCAAAGAAGTGACAAGTACTGGCTGCTACTGTGATATTAGCGCATACGCTCCAACCCAATCCTGTCCAGCACCTTCTGAACAGAGGCTGGCAAGCATAACAACTGCACAGTGTCTCAGTGAAGTTGGTGCCTGGTCAATGGGCATCTGTCTTGCTGGTTTGAAGATCTTAACCAAAGCAGCAGGTTTAATGCAACTGAAAACCAGAGGAAGTGGAAGGAGGGATTAAGTAGAGATGGTGCTCTTCACCAGCTATGAGATGGGTGTAGTCTTTGCCAGTTTTTACCACCTCAGATGCTGGAAGTGAAACTATGCCTCTCCGGTAAGCAAAGTTGTAAGCTCTCATAGCATTCTCTTCCCCCAAACTTGTTTTTGCCACTGAAGAGAAAGAGTGGCTTTATTCCAGCTCAGCTGCTAAAAGTTGGGTAAGGAATGTTTAAGGAGTCCAGTTCTGTTATCATTGGTTTAACTGTCCCACCATGTTTACTGGTGGAACAGGCAATGCTTTATGAGACTGGGCCACTACCAGCCTGTGCTGAAGCTCTCTTCAGTCCCCAGATATAAGGGTGAAGAATAAGTGGAAGCAGAATTGCCAGTCAAGTCTTAAGAGCTCAGTTACAGCATTTCACATTGGATCCTATCAGACAAAGTGCTTTCCTGAAGTCTTCAGCCCTCAGGCATCCAAAATCTAGCTATCACTGGCAACAGTGAGGATTGGTGCAAAGGTGCCACTGGTCCTACGTAAACAAAACAAAAAACCACAAGTGAAAAGGAAAGGGAGATGAAAACAAAAACAAACAGGAGCAGTTACTCCTTGGGGAATTTGAAGGGAAGAAAATAAAAATCACATTTTGTTTTAAAATCATAAATACTTTTGTATAAAGTTATTAAATAAAATGAGATCCGTCCAGTGGCTGTGGTGAGTTCCAGTGACATTCCTAAGCAATGTCTGGTAGTCTTTAAAACGCCCTGTCTGCTCTCCATCTCTTTTGCCGTTGGTCTAAGTGCAGCAGGGGTTGTCAATGACTAGCATAACATCAATGCCATATACTTCCAGCAGGTCCATAAGGAAACTTCGGTCCCCTTGGGGATCCAGGCCCATGCCCCGTGCATGCTCAGCTGTCAATGTCTTGTCCTGGCTGGCTGACACCTCCATCAGTGTCTGAAATATCCGGTTGTTCTGTTCCATGAAAAACCTGTAGGATAAAGTTAGTTGAGATGATGGCAGAGGACCAAAAAAAAAAAAAAAAGACAGCATATTTACTGCACAGGCACAAAGCCCCCCCAAACTACATTTAACCCACTTTAATCATAGATCCCACCTTATTAAGGTGGTACTATAGTAATTTTCCATCCACCCTGTGGATGACCTGGAACGAACAGAGATAAAGCAGTAACTTTTAATTTACAGTGGTGCTCTGGTCTGGCTGATTTATCCTAGGCATTTTCCTCTTCAGAAGAAAGCCACATTATCAGCTAATGTGTACTTTGTGGTAATTAAGTGGAGACATCAGACCTATAGCTCCCATAAAGCAGAGGAGGAAACAATGTTTTCACCCAGCTGGTAAGCCATTAGGTAAATAAATTCTCTATTACTGGAGCAGAACACAGTAGTGAAAGAGCTACTGTTCACCGACTGCTTTCCTAGGAAAGTGCAAGGCTATTCTAACAAGAGCTTTGACTACACCTAAGCAGCTCAACAATGGAAGTTCTGCCTCGACAGCCCTTTACACAATTTAATCCCATTACTTCTCACCTGCTATAGACTGTGAACAATAGCAACAGGCAATGAAGGGCTTCAGAGCTGGTACAGGTGTGGTTTTCATCTAATCCTGTACCTTATACTCTACACCCTGTTCTGGTTCCTCTGTTTCCCAAATTAAAAAAAAAAAAAAAAAACCACACACACATAAATGGGCTAGTCCTTCACATTCAGCTCTTATCTTCATGTTGTACCTTCCACAGCATAGTACAGTACCTGCTTCCTACTGACACTGCTTTCCTGAGCCAACTGTTCTTGCATAAGAAGTCCTATGGTGCTTATGTTTTCAAAAATGGGAGGGGATTCTTTCATTTCTAATTGTGTTTTAAACATTCTCTTCTTCCTCCTAGCACTTACAAGACCTCAGTGGAGATTAATATGGTTGCATTTGGCTTGTCAAGCTGCAAAGAAGATGATGGAAAGAGAAAGAGCCAGTTTGGTGATAAGATCCTTGGAAGAACTCAGGCCTGACTATGGAAGTATGTTAACCATGATGTTTCATAGCATGCCAAGCCAGGGCACCATGAAATCAGTGAAAGAGGTTCCCTAAGTACAACAGTGACCAACTAAATAACTAAGTAGAGATATCCACTCACAAGATGAAGAGGTCCTCTTCACAGGAGCTACAGTCTTCGCCAACTTCTTGAGAATACATTAACAGCTGCCTGGGGGAATGGAGATAGATTAAATGCACCTACCTACAGTGAACCTCAAAGCAATATCAGAAGGCAAGGGTTATAACAGAATACTTCACATCCATTTCTTGCAGACAAATCAAGATTAGCACCATTGCCCCAATATCTGAGGCAACCAGGTAATCTTCTAAGGCACTGGACTAGAAATCAAGTTAGAGGGCTATGTTTTCAGTTCTGCTACTAAGCAATCATGAGTCATTAACAAGTCTCAGCCTCTGTGCCTCTCCTCCGGCCTTCTGTCTGCACCATCAGTTCACTATCAGAGTGGTCATGTGCCTGCAGAGAGCCCCGGGGCTCTCACACCTGTCAGCTACAGTAGAACCAGAATCTCAGAGGTGAGCTGAAGTAGTGGGAAATTTGGAAAATATTAAGGAATAAAATACAAAGGAGCAGTGTCCTTTCCATTCCACATTGCACTGCTCTCCCAGCAAGGACCAGGGCCACTCAGATCTCTGTTATTACCTCTGGTCATTGAGCCGTCGATACTTCTCCTTATCAGCACTGTTAATTTTCAGGAGTGGTTGCAGATGCTCATGATACGTCTTCACATTCTGGTTGTCCACATAGACATCATAGAGATCCCGTTTCTCCTCAAAGATCTTTTCTGTTGTACCTGCCAAAATCAGAGAGAGTTGATTTTCAGAGAAGCATGTTGCTTTCCCTGCAGGCCAGCTGTTCTCTCCTGCTTTTGTAGTTAGTCATTCCATGAAGTTAGTCATTTCCCATCATGGCACCCTCAGTTTCATTCTACGGTCTGGTGTCTCAAGACATTTTTCAACCTGAAGTTAGAAAAGTCCCATTTGATCTGTCATACTTACAGGCCACATATGACACTTCTGTCTCCAGCATTTCTATGTCTGCCACATTCACATAGAAGAATGGTTTGGACTCTGGTACAGTTCCTCCAAGACCAGGTAGAGAAACGTTGGCAAGGCAACAGCAGCAGTACACTGCAGGCAAGAGAAGTACATGCTGAGATGCTTTCAATATTCCCTCCAAAGGCATTCTGAACCTTGCTTTCCCAGTTCTCCTGCAAATTCCTATGAAAGCAATGATTACAGCAGTAAAATGCCTCTGAACACCAGAATTTCTCATGTGGGAGCCTATATTTTGGATGGGAAATAACCAGTTCTCCCATAGGAATCCCACGTTCTACATTCCACAAATTCATTCAGTGCTCTTATTTCCTGTATTTGACAGTACCAGCAGGTAGGCTCTTCCCAGAAAGACCTGAAGAAAAGCATTTTGTAGGAAACAGACAAATGCAGGCCCAAGAGTATCTCCACAAGGAACAGGTGTGATGGAGTTTGAAGGCCTGCATCACTTCCATCCCCTCAGTACCCACAGGCACTCCTGCAGTTCTTCAGCCTACTAGTCAAAGCTCTGTGATGTCCCTGAAAACATACCTCTATAGCAGACAACTCCAACTGGGGGTGGTGAAAATATCAATATGCGCTTGCGCAGCAGGGCAAACTTCCAGAGGACAAGGATCTGCTCACCAAAGAATTTGATGAACTGAGACATACAGCCAGCAGGATGTGTGATCTGCAGGTGGAATAAAAGGGAAGAAAAGAGCTCAGAGGTGAAACAGGGACACAGGCACAGATGCTATATCTGAACGTGGGAGCAAGACCAGCACGCAGCAATGCCAGAGAACTGCAGCTTGTAACACTCAGCTCAAGTAGCAAAATCTTACCTAAAGCAGCCTACAAGTGCTGGAGTGGCTGCTTATATAAAGCAGCATGATACACCAGTAAGGAGCAGCAGCGTACTGCACATCCATGCAAGCCTCAGAGCCCCTGCCTCACCTTCATCTCCGGATACATGTATCTGTGGATGGACGGCAGCCAGTGGACAGGTTGCTGAGAGGTGGGGGTGTCCTTGCCAGCAGGGAGGACTCCTTTCTTGTCATCATAGAATGCCTCTAGATGGGAGTAGTGCCCTGGCATCTCCAACTGGTGTCTGGAAAAGAAAGGAAGAAGAGATCTGTAGTGTCTGCAGACTACCTATTTAGTGTTCTTACTCCCAGCTGACATCTGCTTTCCTAGCTAGCAAAGAAGCCCTGGGCGCCTCAGTTGCCCAGACTTACTTTGGAGGGCATTAGGAGAGATGCAACTTTCAGTGCAGCCAAAGAACATGGGCAGGACTGAAGCAGACAGTAAGCTGATCCATGCATAGGACTGATCCTGTTTTAAAACATTTTCAGGTAGGACTAGCTTTCCCTTCTACCATCACCAGTTCCCCCTGCCAAGCCCACTCAACACAGCAGAGGGATATACCAAGCCAGGATCACAGTCATAGCTTTAGAAGCTTTTTGTGAGCCCTTAGTAAACCAGTTTTCAGAAGGCAAGGAGGGAAACTCCTTGTTCTCTCAACTCTCACTTTGTCAATTGTGTCCCTACAGTGTTTCAAAATAAGTAGTTTGATTAGCATTTGACTAGCCTGTTAGTAATCAACACAATAAACAGACTACAGCGAATTTATTTTTTTTCCCCCTTCCCCAGATGCGAGTCTGTACTCTCTGTGGAGAAGTAGTCATCGAAGGAAATCATAACTTGGCATTCCAAATCCACTGTCCAGCGAGGCAATGTTACCTCTCCCAGGAATAGACAGTGTGTGCCACAACCAGAACAGTCTGCAGTGTAGGCATGCAGCATCCTAGTACCCATACACTTTCAGACAGCTCCATACAGCTAAATAGGTGCACGTAGGACTGGCCATTGCCAGTCCTATACCATAAGGCAACTTACCTGACCTGGTTTTCCAGGAAATGCATGTACCTATACAGCAGGGTATAAGAGGGTGAGAGAATCCCCACAGACTTCATGCGGGCACCACGCTCTAACTCACTCTCCACGGGCATGTTGGCAAAGCAGGCCAAGCCAAAACAGAGCCCTTTCCGGAAATAACTGGGGACAAATATTTGACAGAAGAGTTAACGTTAAAAGAGGAAAGAGGAAGAGAGAAAGCTAACCAACCACCAAAAATACTGATTTGGGAACACAGAGGAAAAAGTTCACTTTTTAAGCAAACCCTTGAAATCCTACCCTGGTATTCAAAAGGCAGATGACAGGCCTCAGGTGTTCTAGCCTTCTCGGGAAGATGACTGCAATACAGCATGTTCAAGCCAGCAGTTCTCAGTGCCTCTGCCACTACAGGCCCTACCAAATACATCTCTCAGTGAGGCAGCAAGTAAGGAAAGTACTCAGAAGGAAAGTCTCGCAGAGGATGCAGGACCCTGTCAACACAATGCTGTTCTAAGGAAAAAGAGGCTGCATGGCATAAAGTTGCAAATATAGTCTAGCTACCTAGTCATATTTTGGGTGCCAGGACCTGGAAGCATGCTTTAGCTGAGTGCAAGGGAAAAGTCTATATGCCTTTGAGCAAATAAGCGTTATTCCTGACCAAAAGGAAAGCGCATTGCAACAGTGGGTTATTGAAAACATGGGCACGGAGACAAATCCTAGTTAACATCTTTCCACTGTGAGAAAGAGCCAACAAAGGAGAAAGTGAATGAAGAACAGGATGGTTATCACAACATTAAAAGGATCCCAAGGCCTTGGCAGAATTAAGAACCTTTTTCTAAGTCCTTTCCCTA